GGTGCTGGGGGATTGAACCGCGGTCCCTGTGCTCTAGCTAAGCTTGTTCTAAGTAGGTGCTTTAGACCACTGAGCCATCTCTCCAGCCCTAAATTTTTTCTTTTGAAAATATTCCAGTGTCTATCTAAAAAAATTACAAGCTAGTGCTTATTCAGTATTCCTCATCCACAGTTTTAAATTCTAAAACTTTTTAAAGAGGAAAAAGCCAAAAACAAATGAGAATAAAGAAACATTGCAACATAAAATGGTACACAAAAGCAATACAAATAGTACAGAATTTCAAACAAGAATAAAACATTAACAATGGTAGTTATATTACCTATTGTTATCATCAAATTCGTTGCTCATAAAAACTCTTAAGTACTGTTTCCCCAGTAGCTGGCAGGAAAGTCACCCGAGGGTAAATACTCTAGTAAACTAAACAGATTCTTTGTGGTCTGTATTCAGCCTCCGTAAGTCGACAGCCATACGCTGCACACTTCGTTGCATAAAAGTGTTCGGCGCGCTCTGCAACCCTGCTGGGTGTCACAAGCTATGCATATCATCTTTCTAAAATAAAGAAGGAAAGACTCGTCCCTACTGTCGTAATAAAGTAGAGCATGAGATTCCGCTAAGACAGACACGGCGCCATACCACCACGCTGGCTGGCGCAGCACTGTCAATGATGACTAACAGCCCAGCCCGTCTTGTTTATTTGTACCAATAATACTTATTTTGGAGTTAGTGTTACTAAAATCCAGAGAACTTTTATAGCCAACTAGGAAGGAAAGGGATCAAAATGAAACATATAAATCCCAAACTAATGGTGACAGTGGCTATCTCAGGGAACAGGAGGAAGAAAAGGGTGAAATTATTTTTTAATCATAACGTACTACTTTTTCAAACTGTCTCTAAGACACTTTCAAAGGCCAATGACCTATGCTTCATCAGTTCTTTTGTTTGTTTGCTTTTTAAAAAAATTCATTTTAATGAGAAAAAAAAGATAAAATAGCAATAAAACAGTTTCAAACTAGGTTAGGAGGACAGTGTTCGCTTTGAGTTTATAACCTGAACGCGGCCCACTCACATCTCAAATTCTAACTGCAATTTAGGGCCCCCAGAGCAGCCTGGTGGGAAACCGGGCGGACCCCAGGAGGGTCGGCGCGGGAGGCCCGACACCGAGACGAGCAGCCTAGACATACCGGAAGTGCGCGGCCGCGGCCGACAGGCGGACCCTCTGGCCCGCATCTTCGCGCGGGCGCCGTTCTGCAGCGCACCTCGCACCTTCCCGCGTCCAGGTCTGGTGACTCGGCTTCTGGGACCCGGCCGGGGCGGGGAGCGGGTGGATGGGGCGGGGGTGGCCGGCGACGTCCGCCGGCAGGTGGGCAGGGAGGGCCCGCCAGAGGCCTCCCGGGCGAGGGAGACGCGGGCAGCGTCCGGGAGCTGAGGGGCGCGGGGAGGGACGCCGAGACGGAAGCGCAGGCCGGCAGCCGCGCGTAACCTCGCTCACGCACCGCACACACCCCAGCCCCACACGTCACCCTCGACGCCTCCCAGGCGCCGCACACACCACACACCACACCGTCGCACACGGCACTGTCCGGCTGTGCAGAAAGGTGCTGTCTTGGGCGTCTGCGTTCTCAGGCCTTCCTCACAAGCCTGCGCCCGAGCTAACCTGAATGCTCCGTCTCGGGAGGAGGGAGAGGGAGACGGTGATGGCGGCAGAATCTCAGCCAACTTGCTGTAGAAATCTGAAACCGTGTTGGAAATTTGTGTATGCTGACAGCAACTCCGAAGCAGCCACTGGGCCGTGTGGAGAGTTCACAGCCATGAAGTCCGCCCGATCTTTGCTTTCTGTAATTAGTGAAAATACCACCATCCTTCAGTGATTGTTTCATGGATTAATTTTTTAAAGTTAAAGTATTTCAATAACTGTTGGTTTTTCATTTAGTCAAGAACATTATTCAAATTGTTTCCTGATTTTTTTTTATGCAGTGTGTTCAAACTTATATCGAGATTTTTCTGAGTCATCTGTGTAGTCCCTAATTCATGAGCTGCTTCCTCCACGAACTATTTTAGGTAAGGTTTTTCCTTTCCTGTCTCAGCAACACTAAAGATTGAACCCAGGATTTTACACAAGCTAGACAAGCTTTCTAACTGCAGAAGTGTATTCTGAGTCCCTCCATGCACTCTGTAAGGTGTTTATCCTTCATGTAAAGAAACTATGACAAAAAGAACATAAGAAATTGACAAAAAAGAAAAAAAAAACATAATTGGTGTTAGATCCATAATCAAACCCAGTTCAACCTAACTTGGTGGTCTCTGCTCTTGTACATTACAACATTCTGTTCTTCCTGTTCCACCTATCTTTTGCTCACCCATACAACTACTTTAAGTGAAGAGCTTGCTGGTCTATGATAATTGCTGATAATACCAATTTCCGTCGTCTCTCATTGCCAGTTTTCACAGCTCAGGACAAGCCTCCAAGGGTGTGGTTTGGAGGGTGTCTCAGCAGCCACTCCAGTCAGGCTGAATGCGCAGGTCTTATTCCTGGATGCTCGAGCCCCTGAGGTGTTGGAAGATCTGGTGATGATGAAAGCTGAGGCAGAAAGCCAGCTCCAAGAGCAGGAATCCAGACTGAAGCGCAACAATCCCCTAGCACGGGAAATCTTCCGAAGGCACTTCCGGCAGCTCTGCTACCAGGAGACCCCGGGACCCAGAGAGGCTCTTACTCAACTTCGGGAACTTTGCTACCAGTGGCTGCGGCCACATGTGAGCACAAAGGAGCAGATCCTAGAGCTGCTGGTGCTTGAGCAGTTCCTGGTCATCCTGCCCAAGGAGCTGCAGAGCTGGGTGCGGGAGCACTATCCAGAGAGTGGGGAAGAGGCTGTGGTTCTGCTGGAGGAGCTGGAGAAAGAGCTTGATGAGCCACAACATGAGGTAGGAGGCTTGGTAGGGCCGAGT